AAAACAGTATTATTGCTAGATTTTAGATCTACAGTACTATGTAGTACTAATTAGAACTTTTATATTAGGCTTCCTGTTGGATTGACTGCTGGTGTAGTCATTTCGAGTTGTTCGGTAACACTAACGTGTCACGATGACTGAGTTAGACGTAACGAAGCGCGTGGCGTCCCCGCGCATTTAAAGATAGTAAATCCCCATAGGAGCCTTTGAATTCATTTTTTTGTCTCTCCTGCAAAATTTACGAAATCGGAGTTGGACGGTTAGAATACCCCGCCGACGATGTGGAAATGAATAAAAGTCCCTTCGGGTAGGACACTCTTCTCCGTTCGAATAGTACTCTACGATAACGTTGTAAAGCAACTCAATCCGCTTTTCTTCCGCCCGCAATAAAAGCTAATCTCCTCTGCATTTGTCAACATCAGACAAAGATGGACAAACTATCTTAATTATCAATATCACTATGGTAGAAGAAGTAGTATAGTAATAAAGGGAAAAGAGAGAGAGAGAGAGAGAGAGAGAGAGAGAGAGAGAGAGAGAGAGAGAGAGAGAGAGTTGTACGGGAAACATTTGCGTAGAGGTAATGAATATAATGGAACATCAGGACCAAAGGGAGGGGGTTACTGTAATAAAAGTGGTGAGTAGTACCCTACGTGGTAAATTTAAGGTCTTTGAAAGGTGGAGCGGCATTGTTTAGACCAGTGAGAATTTGGTGAGACCCCAAGCTCCAAATCAACATTGATTCTTTTTAGTTTAGCTTATCTTTATTAGGATATCGGATCATTTCAATACCCCGAAGCTGCAGATCGGTGGCTCCATTGTGACCAGGACAGTTTAAATGTTGGATGACTGGTGAGCAGGAGTTTTCCTGTACTGAATACCTATGGTTAACAAATCTAACTCTAAGGTTGGTGATAGTTTGACCTACATATTGGGCGGGATAGACTTTGTATGGGGTGAGGTAAATGGTGTTTTTCGTTTCACAGGCGATGCTGTGAGAAAGTTTTATTTTTAAGTGTGGGCCTTCTACAAAGTTGGTCGCTTTCATGTAAGAACATGTTTTGTGTCTAGGTTTTTGACAAGGTGTCTGGCGCCATGTGACAGAAGAAACAAACATGTATTAGAAAATGTCCCCCAAAGCTGGAGAGTCTTCAAGAGTCTATCATGATTCAACACTAACAAAACGTGCTATTTTATGTCTAGATTTGGTTTGTGTTAATTGTCTTTGTAATATAATTATTCTGTTTTTAACACATACATCGTTTCTTTTATCAGATCCGACATTCTGTTGACTGAGTTACTTTACATCTATTTTGTTGTTTTTCTTCTTTTCCCTCCAGTGCGTTTTACAATCTTGGGCGTGACGTTTGCAACAGGGATGAGAAACTCCATCCTCATTCGTCTGTTCACCGTTCTGTCCGTTTTCGCCGTCGTGATGACGTCATTGCACCTGATGCTGCAGATGATCGAAACTGGACTGTTCTCTCGAGTAGACGTAACCAAGAACCTGTTACGATACAAATATCTGATGGAAAACGAGACTTTTGCAGCTGCATATTATGGTTCCCTTGACCAGAGCAAGCTTCGAAGGCAATCTGGTCATTCAAGTTTCCCCAGAATGCCTCCTCCTTTACCTCTCTTGAGAAATCTTTCGTCGAAGGTGGAGGCGTTTCTAGAAGAACCAGTGATAAACCCTCATCCTTACGGGTATCTGCACAACCCAGAGATGATGTGTGGCGAGAAACATGTGGACATTCTGTTTGTCATCCCGTCAGCGCCTGAAAATGTTTGGAAGAGGCGTAAGGTTCGGAAATCTGGACTGGGACTCTATTCACGTCTCAAGTCGTTTAAAAGTGTGAGCGTCGTCTTCTTTTTGGGCCTTCCTGATGCTCACAAAAAGCAAGCCAATCTGACGCAAACCATAGTCTGTGCCGAGGCGGAGAAGTACGGAGACATCGTACAAGAAAATTTCACAGACGTTTACCGGAATATTCGCCTGAAAGCCGTATCAATGCTTAGATGGGCAGCTACGTACTGCTCAAACGCCAGCTACGTCATCAGGATGGACGATGACGTAGCTATAACTGTGAACGTCATCCTTTCCTCCATCAAGATTGTGGGCAGTCGTTATGACAACTTTGTCCTCGGAGACGTAAAAAAGGACTGGGGACCCTCTCGCTACGCCAAAAATAAATATTACGTCACGAAAGCAGAGTTCGCCAATGACACGTATCCGCCATTTGCTCTTGGTGGTTTGCTCGGCTATCCCCTCAAGACTGTTCGACTTCTTTTCGAAGCCTCGTTGCGAGTAAAACCGTTATGGCTGGATGATGTGTACATCACGGGTTTGTGTGCACCGGAAATTGACGCTGTTTTGGTCAGTGATATGGGATTTAGGTTTCGGCACTTGAAAGAAGATGTTAACGGGCTAATTTAAGTATATTTCTTGTGATAAATAAAAACAACCCAAACGTTATGCGACTTCGCATGCTTCTTGTTTTCAAAAAGTAACTCTGTTTAACATCAGTTTAACGTGTTTATGTGTGCGTGTGTGAGTGTGTGTGTATATATATATATGTGTGTGTGTGTGTGTGTGTGTGTGTGTGTGTGTGTGTGTCTGTGTGTGTGTGTGTTTATGTGAATGTGTAAGTATGCAAGTGTGTATATGTATCTGCGTGTTTATGCGTGTTTGTGTGTGTTTTGTTTATAAGTGTGTAAGTAAGTAAGTGTGTATGTATATTTGCGTGTGTATGTGTGTGTGTGTATGTGTGTGTGTGTTTCAGGCGTGTCTCTCTCTATATATATTATATATTATGAGAGTGTATACTGAGGGGTATTTTTTTAAAATTCCAAGCCTAAAATGAGAATCAAATCAACAGGATGAAGTTCTAAGATGACTGTACACCGTCAAAAGGATAGAATGCAGCTAAGAATTCCTCATAAGCGAATGTATACAGGGTTTTAAAATACTTTCAAGATCTGCTTGACTAATATTATTCAAGCTTGTTTTCTCAAAATGTACTCATGTTTCATATTTCTTCTGCTATCTAACGTAATGGATGTCTAACAATAAAAAGAGAAACTGTATAAAAGGCAATAACTCATCATCTTAGCACCAAGTTAATCAGAACCTTCAAATAAAATAAAGATCCATTTAAAGAAAACCAGTCAATGCGTTTGACAAATATCGAGTCACTAAAATAGCATTAATCTGAGTAAAAACAAGCAATTTTACAACTTTTTGAAAGTCAACTATTTCCTAACGTGTATTTTTACAAGGAGCAAATCAGTTCAAATCTGACTTTGCGTTGACGCTGTGTCATTAGAAGTGCTATGTTTCCCTTCATTGGTCTTGGGAGACAGAGTCTAGGGAAACAACCCACCATCGATGGAGTAGTTGAAACTCAAAGTCGAAAAGGAGGATTAGAGAATTGACCCCGTAATGATATGCTAAAGGGATATTAATTAAAATGATGAGCTTTTCTTTTGAGAAATTTTGAACACCTGGACCTCATACTTAACATTGACACTACACCAACTTGCCGAGGATTATTTGACAGTGTCATTTTCAGACAGGTTTGTCCTATAATGCACAAAATACGTTGTAGAAGATTTTTTTTTTTATTGTTATGTTAGGGCTTACGATTTACTCAATCTTTTGTTGAATTTTTTTAAAAATCTATATCTCAAACACTTCAGTCGGTTTTCTTCATGAATATTGACAAATGTAGTTTTATTCTCACCGTTTCTTGCCAGCAAAGTGCATCCACATTTTACGAGCTTTCCTGGTTATATTATTTTGTCAATGCATTCACCAACAACAACAGTAAGGATGGTATTTTGATTTTATTTTCGGTATGAGTTTTACGGAACATACATCATGATTAGATAGAGAAAGTTTTAAGCGCCGAAGATTAGGGGTATTACAAGAAAGTAATGTAAGCTACAAAAAAAAGAAAGAGGTGAGACAATGGTGACAGATGATTGATAGGACAGACGGAGTAAACCATACCAGAAGGCCTGCCATCAATGATGATAATAAGATAGATAATATATAAAAGATGTTGGGTAATCATGCATCATTATCGGACAGTCGGGCAGAATGTATGCACCCACCCACCACTCTAACGCCAACGTGCTTGGGGTCTCGGCTGACCGGTATCTGTGATGTATTGGTTTAGCTCTTTACTGTTTCACACAGAAGACTTGGATTCGTTTCTGGAGAAAGGAATGATTATGTTATTATTTCAAATATCTCCGTCTATCTGTCAGGATGTAGTTTACATTACAACACGCCCATTAATACGTGGTCTAAAGTGTTTTGGTTAGGGCTTAAAATATTAACTTGCATGACGGTCGTTTCTTTAGGCTCGTAGCTTTTCTAACGTCATTTTTGGGAATTTCAAAATACAGATTGAGTTGGATTTTTGTTTTGTTTTGGAAAGGTCGATCTCATTTTGGGGATCTTCCTTTCTGCACTGATCTCAGCCATAAGGTGACCTAGCAATCCACTCTAGAAATGGTTTATTTAAATCTAGAGTGGTGTGGAACCTGTGCATAAAGAACAGAAGCTTCCTCATCCCCAGAACAGGGACTTTTTAAACACTGTTGGTTCTGAACTTAAGAGACAAGTGGCAGTCTGCGGTTTGAAAATTTCATTGACGGCGGTTTCTTTCTCTATTTTTTTTGTTCTAGTTCTTTCTAAGAAATTGTTTCTCAGCGAAAATGTGACCTGCCCCAGGCGACTTTAAAACTGCTTCAGGTCATAAAATGTAAAAAGATCGGACAAAATCGATTGCTGTGCTTTTTTTAAGGTCGACCCCCGCACCCCCTTTTAGTAATCACTCTGTGTGAAAGGCTATGATAATACCAGCGTCATTACCCTTTATTCAAGACGAATGCTGAAGTGTAAGAATGTCCATGAAGTTCACTTTTCCGTAGCATTTTTACCACTGCCATCTTAGACTTTCGCTATTTAAACAAAGTTACGGTCATAGTGACAGACTTGAATAGGTGACGCCTGCTTGATGTGTACATATTTAATGGGCAAGGTGTTGCACCTTTCTTTGTCTAAGCGTTGAAGACAGTTGTAGCGACAAGGGGATAATGAAAGAGACGGGGAGGCGGTGGAGAAATCGAGGAGGGGTGAAGGGAGGGGGCAGGAAAAGTGTCTGAGTGTGTTTGGAAAGGGGGCGAGTGTTTGTGTGTGTGTTTGCGGGTGTGTATGTGTGTGTATCTGTGTATATCTGTATGGGTGTGGATATGTGTATGTGTGTGCGCGTACTTGTATATGTGCGTGTGTGTGTGTGTGTGTGTGTGTGTGTGTGTGTGTGTCTATGTATGTGTGTGTGTTTATGTAGAAAGGGGAGAGAGGGAAGGGTGGTTAAAGCGTCTCATTTGAAATGCAAATAAATAAAAACATCTTTTGCAAATGTTTAAGTAATAAAGGTTGAATAGACAAAGGCTGAATAGATTAAGGTTGAGTAGATGAAAGTGGAACAAAACAAAAATCTCAAAGGCAAAACAGTTGGATCACAGCCAGTGCCACGACACTCGTATCTGAGGGCCCTGCATTAGTCATGGTAGGCTATGGGAGTTTTTTTAAAAACAAAACAAAATTAAAAAAAACACATACAAACGGTCAATACACCCCTCTTAAGTAACACGTCTTCAAGCTCAAAGACAGCAAAAACTATTACAGATTTCTGTCTTCTACCAAGTAGAAAGGAGATAATAGAATCCTTCCATTTCTAGGCTTTTAGGATCACGAAACTTAGACACCTTAGGGAAATTGAAGGTGAGGTCTTTGGGCGGAGGCACGGAGTTTTTTTTTTCCTGGAGTTTTTTTTTCTGGGTTTTTTTTTTTTTTCCTTACTTTATTTTAAAATTACAGAATTGAGAGGATGTGTTGACTGGAAATGCCCCAAGATCTCCTCCCAGGGTTGAGCAGGTGTGAGGAATCACAGGAGGATGCACTCAGAAGTTGGAAGCGAAACCAGAGGGCGTGAGGTTCGATAACCAATGTTAAGTGGAGGGTTAAGAGAAGGGATAGAATGAGGGAATGGGAAATGTTAGAGACGGGTATCTATGTTTGATGGGGTGAGTGGGACCATTACGGACTGGTGTCACTATTTGAAGGGGCTTGGATGAGGAGGGTGTGGTTTTACAGAGTTGGGTGGTATTAAGGAGGAGGGGATTGTAATAATGGTGGATATCACTGTTTGAAATAAACAGGATGATTTGGTGGTGTTTTTACTAGCTACATATATCACATTTTGACAGGAACAGAGAGGGTGTGGTTATAAAGATGGGTTGCATTGTTTGGCGTTGTGGAGGAGGTAGTATTACAGAGAGAATGGTGGTGGGTTTAAAGACGGGTATCATCTTTTTTAGGTATGTGAGAGGGTGTGATGGTAAAGACGGGTATCACTGTATAAAAACAGGGTGGGGTGATTTTTAACCTCTTCGTGACGTATAGTTTTTCCAACTTAAACTGTACCCAAATTTACCAAGCCAGGACTTTAAAGCTATTGTAGTGTTGTTATAAATTCTAGTACGGTGTACGTAGTAAGGTCCACGCGATTTACGGGTATCACATTTTAACCGGAGTGGGAAACGAGTGGTTTTAAAGATGGTTATTCCTGTTTGGCAGAGAAAAGGAGGGGGGAGGGCGATAAAAGCGGGTATCACAGTTTGACGGGTTAGTGTTAGAGACGGGTACCACTGACCAACGTGGAGGAGGTGTTTCTTTTTAAATACAGGTGTCCCTGTTTGGTGGAGAGGGGTAGGGGTTAAAAGGCGGGTGTCACTGTTTGGCGGGAAGGAAAAGAAGAGTGGAGGGGGGGAGGAGAGGGCAGATGCTCGATAAAAATAGTTTGGCTTCCTTTTTGTTTGTAATTCTCCCCTCTCTTTAAAAAATGGGGGGAAAACCTTGCATGATGTTATCTACAGATTTAAACAAATTGACAACTTCTTTAAGTGAAGTGTTTGAATGTTCTTAAACAACCTAAAAGTCCAGAATAATAGAAAGTTCAGACATGCAGACCTGACTCACCCATATATTTCATGTTTATCATTATTTTTTATAATATTTTTTGTGGAGGGGGGGGGGAGGGGAGTATCGACATTATAAGGTCAAACGAAATAAGCCAACTGATGTGTTAAAAGCTCAGCTTGAAGAATACATTCTATTCTTGAGCGGGCTATTGCGTGAGAAGAAGAAAAACACTGTATGATTATGTGCACATTCTGAATCTCCCTTCTACCTTTGGAAGTGGCAATAGAACCTAGATTTGTGAGACAGATAGCCTTTTGTCACGCGACAAAATGCAAATGTTACACACATTAAATCGATTTAATTCGGGTGGTGTCTAGATTTTAATTGCAAAGGAAAAATAATGTTATGGTTCAGTTTATAACATGTTTACCTCTCCCCCTCCCCCTTTTTCTTTTAAATTTGTGTTTCC